TGCCTCTTTTACATCTGTGAATCGCTCTTCTCTTCCCCACCTCTCGACTTTCTGCCACTTTGATGAACCTTCCCTCTGTGAAGCCCGAAGTCAGCAAATAAATAAATAATTTATTTCAAAGTCTATTTCATTTATTTTAAAATAGTAAGCTGCTCTGACTTTACCATAGTGTGAGATCGATCGTACAAATATGTAAAATGAGTCTTTCTACAAACTCTGAAAGAAGCATTCAAAGTGGAATTTAAATACTTCAATAATTAACCCAAGTCAGAGATCTTTTATCTTCCATCGAAAATGGGAATTACCAAGATCACTATCGTTCCACGCCCTCTTTGTTTCGAAATCGCAAGGAATACATGTTCATTGGTAGACCTCCATTGAAAGCGTTGATCAAGCACAACAGTTACAGGTTTTCGTGAGTAAGATAATAGGATAGACCTACCCTTTCATACACCGTGGAAAAAGTCTCTCTTACCTAGAGTTGAGAACTATTAGCGCGACCTGTCTGATAATAATTGACTAAGGCTGAGTTAACCTAATGGGAGCCCTGTGATAACATTGTTCCAATGCAATAAATGGGTCTGAAGAGGGTGTTTAACACAATGAGAAGTTGGATGGCCGGTAGCCAGTTCAAATCGTAATATGGCAATATATTAACACACAGGAATCTCCATCGATTCCATTGATCCACCTTAGTAACCGCATTAGTCAGTTACGCGAATCTGGAGAGTGTGTCTCAGCATGCTCGAGTAAATATCTTTTGGCCGTCAAAAGCCACTTGAGTTTGGTGGCAATGGCAGAAAAATAAAGTTTTTTTTTCAAATATCATTAAACAAAAATGAAAATTCCTGAGATTTTCTAGTTTCTGAAGGAGCTATGTTAGCTTTATGTTATGCCTTCGTGTTTTATGAGGAAATGATCAATGTTGATTGGATTTCTTTTTAATATTACCTATTGGAAGGTTGATCAGTCTTGCCGAAGCTTTAAATCTATTATTTCCTTTAACAATAAGTTTATAAAGCAGCTTGATTTCTCTTTCTCAAACCTACTTTCATAAAATTTCGGCTCAAAGTGGAGTATCTTGAAGGCTGACTGATACCAAAAAAAATATTCAGTCAAATATTTAACTGTAAGATGGAACATCAGGGATGTATCTATCAGGTCACTGATAGCATACCCGGTGGCATTAAGCGCCTCATGATGTCAGGTTAACTCAAATTTTCAAAATTTTACCCATACATACCCCTTAAGCATTCTAATGTTTAAAGCAGCCAGCTAAACTTAAATTATATTTACAGTTTTCTACTCCGAGAATCACAAGCCAAAAAGCAGTTCACTCTGGGATTACAAGCTGACATTTCATGAATATTAATGAACCTCGAGAATGCCAACTTGTAGTAGAATCTACCTGTAAAAAATAGAAGAAGAAGAAGAACGAAACTTGCCTGCAGATATTATTTCAATCGACGTACAGTCTTACACTTAACTTTTGAGCGAAATAATTCGATCTTATAAATTTGTGCGATTTCAAATATGTTACAACAAGTGTATTGGAATCAACAATTTGTAATACAGAGAAAATAGAGTGGAAGTCAAACTGTAACTGGCCTGTATTTTTAATCACAATTCTTAAAACCAAGGCCAAATTAAAACTGATTAACCAAAGCCTTTTGAAATAAATCAATCTTAATAAGTAAACTCTGTAATCATGGCAGGCTTAAAATGAATTCATAATGAAGGCATCCCATTTGTCTTAGCTACCTTTTCCAGTCTAACAGAAGTTTCGAAACTGGAAAACTTCATTCACAGACGCATCCTCATGCAAAATCCAGGGGGCAAGTTGAAAAAAATTTAATAAATTTGGAAAATTATGTTGTTATAGGGAAATTTTTATTTTAACTTGAACGCCTATTCACTTTTGGCAGCTGTTTTACCTTCGAAAATGCTTTCTCTGAGTTAAAGTTTGAGAAATTTAGAGCGTCCAAATGTGAAAATTAGTCTTACTGCTAATGAGACACCTTAAATCATGTACCAAATTGCGATCAAGCATTGTTGGCATAAAATTTGTAACCCAGTATTACATCCACTGTTATTTAGCTTTCTAGGGGCTAAAGACAAATTGAAAAAAACAAACCATAGCCCATAATCAGGTGGTTTGTTTAGAACTTTCCAATTTAGTATTGGCTCAAACTTAACCTAATTCGTCTGTTATGCTAGTACTTGACGACTTGAGTGCTAATGCTGTATTTAAGCACTGCTAAAAAGAAGAGACTACGATTCAAACTAACTAAGAAATGCGCAACTTTTTTTCCTTTAATCCCGTTAAATTTCCAAACGAATACTGTCTCGTTAGAAGTGTAGGTTACACTCTTTAGCTCATGGGAGACATATTATCTCTGCCTAACATCTAAATCGGAATGAACCCAAAGCTTTGAAGTAGACAAAGTCAACGTTAGGCTAACTTTTTTTCAAAATATTTCAAAATTTTCCATTTGTATTGACAAAACAGTTTCACATCAAAAAAATCTTAATTTCTATCCCTGACTCCTAATCAATACTCGAACTTTCTGTTATGTTACCCAATCGGCTATCGGTTTAAGTCCCTAGTGTGGACGATTCTTGGGAAAGCCTGTGTCACTATACATACAGTGGAAATCATATTTAAGTTTACGGCGCGCGTTGGACTTACCTTCGCGTGATGCACCCTGAGCAACATATACCCATACGGCAAAAAAGTCTATAAACCGGCTGTTGATTTCTCACTTCAAACTGTATGTCATATTTGACCACCTCCATAGTACTTACCTTACCCTACTCTCTGCCTTTGTGTCTGTTTCTTTTACATTTTTGCAACGCTTTTCTGTTCTCCCTCTCGATTTTTCCAATTTGATGTTTTCCTCTTCAGAAAAATAACCGAAGTTCAGTTAAAAGGCTAATGATAAATTTCAAAACACCTGGCATTTTAAATAAATAAATAAATAGGATTTAAATTCAAAGCGTTATTTGGATAGCACTGTTCACCCAAGTCCATATTAGAAAAAAAGAGAGGAATAAATTTAATTCATTTATTCTTTAGAAAATAATTAAGGATTTTACAGAAAATAAGCATTTGACCTTGAACTCTAACCTTTGAGTCTTTTTGTTCTGAGGCGGTAAGGGCCTACGTTTAACTTCTGAATTCCATTTAGGTGTCTATTGAAGTACATTTTGCCCATGGGGAGTGTACACTAAATTATGTTCAAATTACTATAAGAACAATTCATGATGGTTTTGTTGATCATCTAACTTAAAATTAGAAATAAAGGCTGAGGCTACCATTTAGATAGAAACTGCTTTAATTGTAGTACTTTTATATTTAACTCACTTTATACACCGAGAACAACGACAATTTTTTTTGCTTTCCAGTTAAACGTAATCAAAGTTGACCTTCCCTATTAAAAATATGATAATTATAAAACATTTAAAAACGCAACTTTTGCTTTGCAAATTTATATTAATATAAGCTGACTTACCGTCTTTAATTTCCATGAAGTCGTCACTAAACTCCTGAATTTTCATAAAGTTGCTCTTGTGGATCTCATATTGGTCTCTCGTTGCCTCGTCAGCAAAAATAAATTCCTTCACAAAAGTCACCCTCACAGCAGTCACACGAGTCCACTCAATTTGTGGCGATTTATCTCTCCACACACACTTTAAAGCTGCTGATTCATTGATAAAATGCTGCTTTGCTGAGGTAATGACACGATCATGAGGCTCGGCGTTGTATACAGCAGCTTCACTATTCTCGAGTGTAGTTGAGAATCGGACCTCCTCAGTATACCTAGGTCGACAGTGGCATCGCCTCCGTCTTTGTCGCACATAGTGGTAGGCAAAACAGAGCCACCAAAGTTTTGGGTCCTGTTTCACAGCAGCCTCAATTAGAGGCATAATTTGCGTGACATCTGTGGCTGAGGAGAGGTCAAGCCGCGTTCTGCAGTTGAAGCACTCAAATAGGTAGATTAAGTAGAGAAGAAGAAGCATCATAGCAGCAAGGGAGTAATGAACGGGTTGGCAGGTGCCGTCGTGTTTGTAGAACCGTATCAGGTTAAAACACCAGCTGATGGAGAGTACGCAGAGAAGAATGAGAGCAGTAATCAGAAGGCATCGCCATTCTTCAAAGGCGAAACGCAGTATATGGAGGGACCTGTGTGGTGAGGGTCGTATCTTGATGAATTAATGAAAACAAAAAACTGTCCATTTACCAGCCTTTTTAATAGACTAACAAATTTAAAATATCGACAAAGTAAATATGCCATTTGCTTACCTGATTTCACGATCAGCGACATAAATCCTAAGATTGGAAGGAAAATTTGAAATGCAACTTTATCATTTACCATAAATGAACTAAATTTTGTACAGCAGAAGCCTTAATGCTATGAGTTTATAATGAAAAGGATCCATCCTATAGTGAACCTGCCTGTCAGTCACAATGAGCCCAAAGCGGGTTTACATTTAAATGCACTCTGGACAAAAGAAAGCAACTACAATTCCGGGTGTTCATTTGTCACTGAGTAGGGGTGTGCGATAGAAGTACCTCCACGTGGCGCGTCCTGGGCAACGCATACTCATACGACAAATAAGTCTATTAACTGGCAGTTGACTTCTCCCTTCAGACTACCAAGACCCCACTGTATGTCATATTCGACTACTTTCACAGTACTCACCCCACTGTATGTCATATTCGACTACTTTCACAGTACTCACCTCACCTTTTTTCCATCTTCGTCTTTGAAAGACTCTTCTGTTCCCCCCCCCCTCTCGACTTCTTTCACTTTGGTGTTCCTTCCCCTCTGTGAAGTCTTAAGTCAACTAAAGGCTTATGATAACCATCAAAATGCCTGCCATTTTAAATAAATAAATAAATTTGTCACTGAGAATAAATTGGTAGTTAACCTACATTGTGATCAATCAAGATCAAAACACTATTTTTCTATCAAAATATTTCAAAAAATAACCTTTAAATTAGATTTGGGAAAGCAAAAATTGGTTGCAGTTTTCGTCAAAATGCTGAAAAAATAATAAAATTTTACGCGGATTTGGGAATACAATTGAAGTTAATTTTCCAATATTATCCATATAAGTAGTATTGGTAGTTTTATTTATTTATTTCAAATGGCAGGCGTTTTGATAGCTATCATTAGCCCTTTAATTGACTTCGGGCTTCGCAGAGGGAAGGTTTATCAAAGTAGCAGAAAGTCGAGGGGTGGGGAACAGAAGAGCGATTCACAGATGTAAAAGAGGCAGACAGACAAAAGGCAGAGAAAAGGGTAAGATGAGTACTGTAAAAGCGGTCGAATATGACAAGCAGTCGTGCCATGGTATTTTGAAGTCAGAAGTCAACTGCCGATTAATAGATTTTTTTGCCGTATGAGTATACGTTCCCTAGGGTGCAACACGTGGAGGTAAGTCTATCGCACACCCGGTAGTATTGGTAGTTTAATTCTTA